AAAAATTGTCTGATTTCTGATTCTTTACTTTTAAACTTCCATGAAGGTTTCCCAGAATAGAGAAATAAAGTCTTATAATGTGATGGACTCCAAACCAGTTCAGTCTTGCAGTGGTAAGGGGTGGCAAAAGCTGGCAGGGACCATAGGTGTGACCTGTTAATTACGGGATCCTGGACACATGTGCAGAACAGTCCCCAAAGTCCCGCTGGTGGACTTCTCCAGAGAACTCCAGCAGGTTTTCTATAGGATGGCCTAGGCCTGATCTCACCCTGAGATGTGGGATCCCAGTACTCTTCTTAGGACCCAGATGTAGAAGTTCTCTTAAGTTCTTTGGGATTTGGACAATGTAAAAATAAAAAAGCTGCCATGAGGAGCTGATGCTAAGATAGTTTTCTACAATAGCTCATGCTGTTTTTCTGAGAAGCAGCATGTATTCTTTTTTCTCTTATTTTTATTTTCTTCCTTTTTTTTTTTTTTTTTTTTTTTTTTTTTTTTTGTGTGTGTGTGTGTTTTTGAGACAGGGTTTCTCTATGCAGTTCAGGCTGGCCTTGAACTCACTTTGTAGCCTAGGCTGGTCTCGAACTTTCAGTGATCCTCCTCCCTCACCCTCTTGAGTCCTGGAATTACAGCATGTGCCACCATGTCTGACAGTAGTGAGTACTATTGTCCTTGGTCTTACCCCTTTTTCTCGTTACACAGCCCAAGTTCACTTTGCAGAGCCAGTTTCTTCCCTACTCTTCATTTTTGCTTTTTTGAATAAACTTTGCTATTCATTGCCTTTTGTCCATTTCATTCAATTCTTTGTTGTAGAGGAGGAAAATCTGTAATCTAACTTGAGAAGGAGAGGTGAGCAACCCAGAACCCAGCACTGTATAGTTGACAGCTACTTTTTAAAAGCAAGCTACCCGATAACAATGGGAAGGACTCAGTCTCTTTTTTTCTTGGCTAGTTGTTCTACTTTTATGGTTCTGCCTGCTTTAATGATTTCTACTTCTAGTTACTGGCTAACCAAGGACCTCCATACTATTTAATTAATGTGAGTGTTTTTTGTTTTTCCTACCGTACATGCATGCTGGGCAAGCATTCTGTCACTGAGCTCCATCAGCCCTTATACTTTTTTTGGGGGGGGGTAATAGTGGCAGAATATATTGTTAGATATTTAGAGCCAAATATTTTTAAATAGTAGTAAAAGAATTCCAGAAATCACATTCTCGGTTACCCATAGGAGTCCATCATCTGTGTTGGCCAAATATAACTTGAAATAGACTTGATTTAGTTTTAAGAAATGTGTGACATAGGTGCTTTTTAGTGTATTTTTACATTACTCAGAATTTTCTGAAAGTGAATATAAGGTACATTGATTCAGCTAACCCAAACATTCCTCAGAGTGTGCTTACTTAGAAATTTCTGAATCATTTTAAGTTAGAAATTCTCTGAGCCAAATTTAGCCTACTCCTTTTTTCATAAGCCCATCTAGTGAGGTAGAATCTATACAACCTGAGGTGTTTGTTCTGCAAGCTGCCTAGAAACTGAAAATTGTAATTCATTATTTATTAAAATTGATATTAGCACTTTGCCTGCAATTTTTCTTCGTTTAATCTGAATAGTCGAGTTGTTAGGCCAATGTTATCATCTTTGTGAACCCTTGTTCAATTTGAGTGAAGTACTTGTCTTTCAGTAAAGCATCCGAGGCTCTTGCATGCACTAAGCTCTTGGAATTTGAGTAATAGTGGATGAGGGGAGTAAAGGAACTTAGAGAAAAGTCATCTGAGCTTTTATATGTTGGCAGAGAGTAGGTTGTTCAAGTCATGATGATATGAGGTTGAGCTCGAGTCTCTTTGATTCTACTTTCAGAGTTCTTTCCAATGAAGTATTTCTTTTCTGAGTCCTCCTTCCCCCATACAAGGCATCACCATTTATTCTCATTTTCTAAAATGAATTAGAATAAATTTCTGTCCTGACTAGGTTTTGTTTCTTTTTTTTTTTTTGTCTTTTTCGTTACCAGAGATCAAACCTCACGACTGCCTGCTTGCAAGGCAGGCACTTATGCTGCTAAGCTAAATCTCCAGCCCCTAGATTTTGTTTCTTGAAGACACATTTGATTTCAGCGGTCAGGAATCAGTTACACATGCTTGATTTATTAATGATATATATATATATATATATATTTTTTTTTTTTTTTTTCCCCCCAACAGCACTGGGGATTGAACCCAAGGCCTTTGTATTGAGCTACATCCCCAGCTCATTTCTTTCTTTTTCTTTTTTTTTTTTTTTTTTTTTTTGGTAGTGGGGATTGAAATCACGACCACATGCTTGCCAAGCAGGTGCTTATGCCACTGAGCTAAACCCTTGCCCCTCCCCCCCAGCTCATTTCTTATTTTCTGTTTTGAGACAGGATCTCCTAAGTCACTTTGTTACTCAGGCAGGGCTTGAATTTTCAATCCTTTGCTTCAGCACCCTAGAGTACTGGGATTATAGGCATGTGCCACCTCACCTGACTGTGCTTAAATCTTGTAACCATCAAAACCTATCCCTCATCAGCATAGTGGCACACACCTGTAATCCTGGTACTTAGGAAGCTGAAACTGAGCATTGCTGTGAGTTCAAGGCCAGCCTGAACTACATAGTGAGACCCAGTCTCAAAAAACAAAATAATACACCACAAAAAACCACAAAACCAAACCAAACCTATCCCTTTGACCTTTTGGAAAATTTAGGCCTTGAGACTCAATTTTCTCAGAATAATTGGTGTGAGATATTCTTTTATTATTATTATTTATTTATTTATTTATTTATTTATTTTGGTCTTTTTGAGACAGGGTTTCACTATACAGTTCAGGCTGGCCTTGAGCTCACTTTGTAGCCCAGGCTGGTCTTGAACTTGCAACAATCCTCCTGCCTCAGCCTCCCAAGTACTAGGATTACAGATATGCACCACCCCGCCCAGTGGTATGAGATATTCTTGGTCTTTAATAGGAACATAGTAAAATCAATTTTCTCTCTATTTTGAGTTCATTGTTCTTTTAGTTGGTAGTGTAAAGGTTTTATTTTATAAATGGTATCTTTCATGTCTGTTACTTTCTTTCATTTTTGCTAGAGATTACAATTTGCAATTTGAGGCTTAATTGCTTACATCTTTAGAGTTCATGTTATTTTATTTATCTATTTATTTTTTATTTTAAAGATAATAAAATGCAACAAAACAAGACAGAACAAAGCCAATCAAGACAATGCAGTGAAATTGGTATAGAACTTCAGAGCAGAATGCCAGAATAACAATAATAGCTACCATAGTAAATCTCGTTATCTTCACAGTAGTTGTCCATTCAGTCAGGTATAGCAAAATCAAACCAAAAACAGAGCACTATAAAACCAACCCAAACAGAATATTGAATAGAGCAAAACAATCAGAACGAACCAAAACTGTGAAAACACCGTTGGCCTTCAAAGCAAGATGGAAATCCCCCAAATTTGCTATGTTGAGGAGCTGGGGATTTAGCTCAGGGGCTTAAGCACCTGCCTGGCAAGCGTGAGGTCGTGAGCTCAATCCCTGGTACTGCAAAAAAAACCCAAAAAACAAAAAACAAAAAAACCAAAACACAAAAAACACCACAAAAACTCCAGAAAAATCTCCCAAAACAAATTTGCTGTGTTGCATACTGTCATCCTCCTAAGAGATGCTCAGACCTCTGGCCCAGGCCTGCAAAATCAACCAGACAATACAAGCATTTAGGTGCTTTATGATCCTTAGTTGCTATCAACTCAGCCTATCCCCCAAACCGGCTGGTTGCTTGGAGGGTAACCCTCATGGGAGGCACTTACTTTGCTCTTTCTGGAGGCTGAGCAGCTTGCAAGGCTTACCAGAAAGGCTGGCTGGTTGGCTTCTTGTTGGATCCTCCTAGTTCCCAGCATGGCTGATTCTCGGGAGGTGCTGATTTTTCTCCCTGGAGTTTTTTTTTTTTTTTTGTACCAGGGATTGAACTCATGACCTAGCACTTGGCAGGCAGGCACTTATGCCACTGAGCTAAATCCCCAGCCCTCTTGAGTTCATTTTAAAATGTGTTAAAAACATTATTTCTTGAGTGATTATCCTCTTAGAAAATTAAGAAAGATAGTACTGTATTTGCTGCTTTTTGCTTATTTTTTCTTCTTTTCCTTTATTTTTGAGTCTAGCTTTACTAGTGACTACTGGATAAATTGTTTTCTTAAACCTTGGTTATACTTTTTAAGTCATTTTCTTTCTTTCTTTGGTTCCCTCTGTAGTACTGGGGATTAAATTCAGGGACTTTGCACTGAGCTGTGTCCCTAGGCATTTTTAGTTTTTACAGTATTTTGAAACAGGTTCTCATTAAGTTGCTCACACTGGCTTGAACTTGCCCTCAGCCTCTCAGAGAGCTGTGTTATAAACGTGCACCACCATACCCTGCCAGTGAGTCATTTTGTTAATATTGTAAAGCATTAAGATGTACTGTATCCACATTTGTGATATATTAGTAATAACTTGATTGTTATATTACTTTTGCATTTTTATCAAATTCCTTTTGTGCCAGAAAAATAAATTGTGCTGAAAAAAAATCAGCAAGCAAAACACATTTTTATTATTTTGTGAATTGAAACTGCTTCAAGGATACACTCTTGTTTTATTTGGTAAAATTCTTTGTGTAGGTGACATTTGTAACTGTATTAGTCTCATGCTTATGGAGAACTTTCTTTAGATCTGCCTGGCCCATTGACTGTTGTTTTTGCATTTTTTCTGGAGATTGTTCTGATACCTTTGGTGTTTCTTATGTGTCCAGAAGATAAGTTTGTAGTTATGACCATTTCCCAAAATTACGGTATTTTGCTTAGAATTATGTATAATGACTGATAAAACATTTTAGATAGACATAAGCTGGAAGAAGTACCCTGAAAAAATATTTTAAAGCTCACTTATGCATTTATTTCACTTTTTTTAGAACAGAAATATTTTATTTCATTTTCTTTTCCTTCTTTTTTTATAGCATGTTCCACACTGTTCAAGACAATGCTTAATTGTGTCCCGTACTCTCAGTTCAGTGAGACATACTCCAGATGAAAAAGTAAGTATTTCGATAATACGCTCAACAACTAGGTTATAATGGTAAAATTTCCTTGTTTTCATATTATGTTCAGTGGACAGGTTAAATTGTATTAAGGCGGGTATCAGGGATTTACCTCAGCCGTATAAGTTGCGCAGCCCAAGGTTGTGAGTTCGATCCCCAGTACCCCCCCAATCGTGTTAAGGCTGAGTAATTATGTATTACTCTAGCATCATAACTTCCAATCTTTGTTCCATTTTGCATTGTAGACCACAAACTGTCTTTTTAATTTTGTATTTATTTCTATACCAAAAATTGAATACATTTAATGTTTCCCTTTTAGCAGAATAGTTAGTATAACATTCTTTTTCAAACACTAGGCAGTTGGAAGGTTTTAATTAAACTATTGGGTTTTTTGTTGTTGTTGTTTCATTTATTTAATGTGTCTTATTTGGCTTTAAGGCAATTATGCATATTGAAAATTTCTGGGCAAAGGAATTTCAACTAAAATCATGATACGTGATTGTATTTGGCAGTTGTAATAGAGCTAATGGGATTTGAAGTGTTGATCAGAAATAAAACATGGTTTCCTGATAATGTGAGCATCAGAGAGGTCTGGAGAAGAGTTCTGGTTGAGACTCTACAGCATTATTGTTCTGACAGTATAACTGGTCAGAGTGCCAGATGAGTCCACACCAGTTGACCCTGTCTCAAAAAAATTATTTTGATATACAAGCAGTATTAATATTCAGACACTTTAGATCTTTTTTCTCCCTCTGAGGGTCTTACTATGTAAGTCAAACTGGCCTTGAAGTCACTATGTAGCCTAGGTTGGCCTCAAACTTTCAATAGTCCTCCTATCTTAACCTCCTAAGTGCTGGAATTACAAATGTGTGCTACCACGTCTGGGTTAGATTTTGTGTGTTTGAATAAAGTCTTCTGAATCCAGTGTATCTTTTATACTTTCTGGGATGACTTAGTTTGACTAGCCTTTGAAGTGCTCAGTATCTTCATGTAGTTAATACCTACTACATTGGATAGTGCAGGTTTAGATGGATTAGGTATGAATAGAATTTGCTTTTATGAAATCTATAATTTAAAAACTTCACCAGAGGCAATATACATTGAAGTTCTTTTGTATTTGTTTGTGTACACTTGTATCGCATTGCAGTCTAAAGCTAACCAGCTGTCCTAATTAGTAACACTCTTGGAGTACTTAGTTTCCATTTAATAAATAGGGCATATAGCTCAGTGGCACAGTGTCTGCCTGGCAAGTGTGAGGTTGTGAGTTTGATGATATCATGGTATCAAAAAAAGGTCCATTTAACATAGAGGCCACAGTCTGGAAGGGGGAATACTACAAGTGGTTCAGTCATTTTTCTGTAATCAGTGGTAGCAGTCCTCCCTATAATTGGTGCTAGAAATGGGCTCTCATTGATAAAATTAATAATATTCAAGATAACGTGTATTGGCTATTTTAAACAACTTTTCAGGCTTAGTAGAATAGTACTGTACAACAATCTAGTGACCTTTCATTCTTTACCTCTAAAGATAACACTCAGGGTTGACCCCTAAATGAGAGTCTTTATTCAGCCAGTGGCCTGGCAGATTCTTGATAACTCTGATGGTGTGGATGTGGATATGAGGTGAACTCTGTTCGCCTCAGTTGAGAATTGTTCTTGTTGGATCATTATGAAGTATGGCAATTTGAGACTTCTCTGAGCTTGTGGAGTAGCTTTTAATATTCTTTTTATGCCTGCTGGCAGAGTTTGGTCTAGGACTTCTTTTTGCTCTCATTTCATAGAAAAGTTAAAGGCACAGCCGATTTACCTTCCATGTTGGTGACCACTGATGATTATTAAAAACTAAATGATTAAATGTCATAACTGTCTTGGCTTAGGACATTTAAAAAGATAGGAGAGCCCCTGGGATCTAGTAAGAGGGACTTATTTTGTTGCAGATACCTGAAACCAAATCTGTTACTTGCTATCTTTGCTGTCTACTTTGTGTTAGATTTGCCTAAAGTAATTGTAGAGAAATTGTATGGCTTCTCTAACCACTGGTGGATGTTTTTTCATACTTACTGGTTAGTAGAGGTGTGTAATCAGACCAGGTCGGTGGCCATATCCTTCACTTGGTGGTGTTTAATTGAGCTTTTCTCATTAGGGACTCATTCTATCCTTGAAGCCAGCCATTCATTAAATGCTAATCTGTTTTGTTTATTGTTACAGTCTGAAGTGCAACTTGACCTGTTCTTTAGCACTATATGTTTGTTAAATAAATTGCTTCTTATCTGAACCTATCATTGACCTTCCACATTTTACTAATGATTTGTATCATGTCACTGAAACAAGTGAAATTTAATCATTACCAAATTGAAATTAATGGTAATTTAGTTGAAACAATACCAGTTTCATTGAGCCTAAAGGTAATATGAGCCAGTACTATGTGTACTACAATGTGGTTTTCATAATAATAATTTTAAGTGGCATTAATAATACAGTGTTTGAAACACACTGATATATCATTAATCTTTTGATTTAGTAAATCATAGTGTACTCTGATGTGACTGAGTATAAACTCCAGCTTCATTATCAGTTAACTTTGTAAGTAACTTGGGCAAAGTGATTGGGCCTCACCAAGCCTTGATTTTCCCACTTGCAAAATGGACATATTATTAGAATTGACTTTATAGGCTTTATATCCTTTATAGGATAAATGATTGTAGTAGATGGATTAGTGTACAGCAAGGATTTGTTCCAGTGCTAGTATAGAGAAAGCACATACCTTACATATTAGCTGTTAAACATTATCTTTTTTTTTTCCTTTGGTACTGGGGATTGAACTCATGACTGAAAGCTCACCAGACAGGTGCTTACACCGCTGAGCTAAATCCTCGTCCCTTAACGTTATCCTTAGTAATTCATTTTGTTCACTTGGACCCGTGGGCTCAAAAATCCCTTGATAGTAAGCGTAAGCTGGTGCAGTCTTAAGCTGTCTTCCTCTAGGACTGATGAACTTGCTCATCATGGTATGCCCCTCTCAGAACTCTTCGATACACTTAGTAGCTGGGGTTCTGGTGCCACACCTCCACCAAGCATCCAGTGGAATGTGTCAGCTCAGTTCTTCTGTTGGTCTCTTGGTGGAGGGAAGTGCCAGCTATTATTTTAGACCATACTTGTGAAGGTCTAGTCCTAGGGAAGGAGAAGGAAGGATAGAAAAGAGAGAATGGATTAAAAAAAAAGAACTCAATGTCCTGAGGAAACTTTGTATTCCTGATGCCATCATCAACATAGTCACCAAGTGGCTGCTTTGCAAGCCCCTCTATATCTCTTCTGATGTGTGAGAGCCCTTCTGTCTTCAAGGTCTGGCTTCTGATTTATAATTGTGGTTTCATATTTTCCTCCCCTTTAGTGTCCCACACTTATGGTCTACATACAGCAGAAAGTCTTAGTTCTGTAAATGACAGTTAAGTCTTTTCATCATCTGGACTTTTTGTCCCATAGCTTTGTTTATTATAACTCCCATACATATTGAGTGATTGAGCCACACTAAAAAAATTGTTGTAGTTTTTGGTGCTGCCTCTTTTAATGTCACTGTCTTTGCACATCCTCCTTACACTTTCCTTTCTCTCTACTCGGCGCGTTCTGGGCATAGTTTTAGTACAGGACTTGAGACCATTTGTTATGATAGTGCCACTTTGCCCATTTGATGTTTGCCTAAAGCTGTTAATGCAGATGGTGAATTTTAAAGTTAGTTTAACTGATTTATGTATATAATCTTCATTATGCTTAGCCTATCTGGTAGAATATGCAGGAGATTGTTAACTGTCCTTACCTTTCGGGCAGGCACCTGAGTGTCATTTTAGTACTTTTAAAATTCTTAACTATATGTGTGTGTGCTTTATTTAAAAGAAAATTTTATGACCAGCAGATTACTTGATGGTTGAGGGTGTAGCTCAGTGGCCTGGCATGTGTGGCTCTGGGTATAATCCCTAGCACTCCCCACCCCAAAGATCAGTTGATATGATGAACTTTCTTGGCTTTGTACACTAATTAGAAATATATAAGTAACTCTGAAGAGAGATCTTTCAGGTACAAATAATTTGTTTTGATAGAGTTTTTTTTTTCTCATTAGATAGGGCCATACTCCTGCATTCCTGACTGCAGTCTGGCCTGTGGCCCAACTAGGTGACAATACCTATAGCTAATACTTACTGAGTACATACTACATTACATTCTGAATACTATGCAGAACAACATAAGGATGTTAATTTACCAGTCTCACAAACTCTTGTGGTAGGTACTTTTATTACCCTTTTATTGCCAGGAAATGAGGGTCAAGAAGGATATCTTACCCATAGAAGGATGCGCAGAAGAACATATGAGAGTGTTAGAGTTCCATCCCAGCAGTTTGGCCTGTGGAACAGAAAATAGAATGGGATTCTTATTTAATCTTTATAATTTCATCATCATTTGTGGTACATATTTAACAGATTTTTGATGTATAACATCTAGCAATGCTTTTCATGGTGCATTCATCAAATGCAGTCTGTAAAATACTTCATAAAACCTTTACTGTGTGTGGTGATGCACACCTGTAATCCAGCACTCAAGAGACTGACAAGGAGAATTTCTTCTAATTTGAGATCAGCTTGGGCTACATAGTGAATTCAAGACCAGCCCAGAATACATAGTGAGACCCTATCTGAAGCACAAAACAAAACAACAACAATAACCAAAACTTTGCAGTTTTTTTTTTTTTTTTTTGTCTTTTTCCTTTTTATTGATACCAGGGATCGAACTCATGACTGCCTGCTTGCAAGGCAGGCGCTTATGCCGCCAAGCTAAATCCCCAGCCCCCAACTTTGCAGTTTTTAGTACAGTTCAAGAAAATATAAGGACCTGTTTTATTAGATATTCTTACTGTTTAATAGCTATTTACTATGATCATTTAGATACAGAAAGGTAGATGATTTTGAATCTCTGAAGTTAGTGTAGATTATTTTCAGGGCCCATATGATCTAGTCTCTGAATGGCTTGGGTTCCATCAGGTTAAGAGTTCACTAGTTTTTAAGACTGGTCTCAGGTTGGTGAAATAAGTCATGTGTGATATAATATATAACCAAGACTGGAAAACCTTTTCCAACTCTAAGATTCAGGGTTTTCCCTTCAGGTGGAAATGCTACCTTGAGATATATTATTGTTTTTATAAAGATCACATAAAACTTTAACTTTGCTTTTAGAAATATAACAAACTTTTTTATAGTTACGTATAACTTTTGATTTACCAATTCATAAAAATTACATACTTACATGCATTTCATCCAAATTACTTATAATTGTATACCTATACAATTATGGTATGTGTGTATTATGAATATATGTTTTATAAAAGGGATTAGCCTACGTGATATTAGAGTAGGAAAAAACCCATTAAATCTCTTTCATTAGAGTGTTGTCCCTTCATATGTGTGGAAATCAAGACTTTCAGAGACTCGTAAGATCTGGCTTGGGATTTAGGTCTCTAGATATACACTGGATGCAACCACTGTTATCTAACATCAGCTGCTTCAAAATTTGATGGTTATTTAAATTTAACACTGCATTCAAATGGGATAACCTGGTTGATCTGGACATCTTTGAATATATAAGTATAGTTGATGTCAGAGATACAGAAGATCTGATGTAACCCAAAAATACATATATAAATTATACTTACTAGACTTTATTTCAGTAAACAATTCAAGACACTTAGGATTCCCCAGAGTTTAGAAAGTATTTTTTAAGCAATTTTTTTCTTTTTCCTCTCCTCTTTTTCTACTACTACTATTACTACTACTACTTTTTTTTGTTCTTCTTCTTCTTCTTCCTCTTCTTCTTTTTCTTCTTGTTCTTGTTCTTGTTCTTGTTCTTGTTCTTGTTCTTGTTCTTGTTCTTCTTCTTCTTCTTCTGCTTCTGCTTCTGCTTCTGCTTCTGCTCCTGCTTCTTTCTTCTTTCTTCTTTCTTTTTCTTCTTATTCATGAGACAGGGTCTCACTGTGTAACCCAGACTGGCCTTAAACTCATAAACCTCCTGCCTCAGTCTCCTGAGTACTAGAATATGTGCATGTGCCACCACTCCTGACTTGTTAAGCATTTTCTTGAAATTTTTAGGGAAATATTACTTGAAAATTTGTTATTGTTAATAGAATTTATAGATACTCCTTAAATCCACTTAGGACTACTTTAACCTAGTCAATTGAGGCTTTAATGAAGTAATTACAGGGCTAGATCCTACCGAACAAGTTTAGTTCTGGTTATAAATGAGCATATTATTTATAACATTTGATATTACCGTAGGAAGAAAATGCTTATTAGAATCATATCCATTGTTAATTGTGGTAAAATTTGCTGTTTTCTGGTTTCCAAGTAAGAGTAACAGTTTTTAATTTTTTTTTTCTCCATTCAGACTTTTGATAAAATTCTGATTGCTAATAGAGGAGAAATTGCATGTAGGGTAAGTGGAATTTGAATCATACTTCCAATTTTATTCTATGAAATTTATTATTATTAAATCCCTTTTAAGTATGAAATTCTGTTAATAGATAATACTAATATTTTTAAAATAGGTTATTAAGACTTGCAAGAAGATGGGGATTAAGACAGTTGCCATCCACAGTGATGTTGATGCTAGTTCTGTAAGTATATTTTTACTCAGTTTAAATTAGGACTTAATTTTGGGTCAAACAGAAAAAAATGAAAGATACTTTTTTTTCTTGGCCTGCAAAGGTATATTCAAGTTTTAAAACTATTTAATTGTTCACTTTTTATTAAGCTAAATAAAAGCATTTCTCTCTATAAGTGTCTTTAACTTTTTTTTTCCAAAGCTTTAAAAATTTAAGACCAGACTAAAAATTTGCCAAGTTGATTGTTGGTGGGCAAGCAGATTTAAGCAAACCATGAGAAAATTCAATTCAAAGATTAATGAATTGTTTACACAATGCTCCCTTATGAGAGCTTTTTTCCCCAGCATAACTCCACTATCACTAAGGGAATGCTATAATTGTTTAACCTTTCCTAAATGCATTAATGTGTTCAGCTGAAAGTTTGATAAATGAGAGATAGGCTGATGCTAATTGGATGTGAACAAAAGAAGGTATAGCATAAAGCAGTGAATGATAAATAATTTTATTTGGCATTTATAACACAGCGGGCATTTTTTAGCTGTAATGAACTATGATGAGTATAAAAAAAGATCCCATGGGAAAAGAATGTGAATTATTGGGATCTTATGGAATGAAATGAAGAGGTTATACTCTAAGTTACTGTTTTTTTTTTTTCATTCTTTCACACTATTGATAATTGGACATTCTGGTAATGTCAGCTTTCATGGAATAGTAATATAAAGAATTTTCAAATTTTGTGCTCTTTAAATTTTATTTTATTTAGAATTATGTTATTTTGTCTTATTGTAACTTTCTTTTTAAAATAGCACAGTGGAAATAATTGCAAACTAATTTTCTTTCGATGTTAAATATATAATGTATTTGACAAGTACATTTAAAATATTTGTCTTTTACCAAAAAGCAGTTAACTCTGTTTTGATATATACTATTTAATTTTTTAAATGTTTGATTCTCTGGCTTCTTTGATAAAGTTTAGCTATGATTTATATTCTTCATAGGATACTTTTGATTGGTACCTGAAGGCATTTATCACCTTCAAATTCCTCTAGTGAAAAATTTCTTAGTGTCCATAAATCTCCTAGTAGACTTAAAGCTTATGCTTCTTGTCTGTATGTATTTTCATTGCATTAACTTATGAAAAGTTTTTACCCATGGATAAATTGAAAGGAAAAAAATCTGAATTGTACACAATCATTTTTATTTGAAGTCTAATAGTAACTTTCACTTATTTGTTTTTCCATATTAAAGTGCAGTTAGTTCTCTATGCTGTATTCTTTTAGAGGAGACTATTGGTATGAATAATCAAAATTCATATTTCTATTTTTTTCCTATGTACTTATACTTCAGTGATGATATTATAGAGTAATCCATTTATGTAAGGCATTACGCTACATAGCATGGGTAACTTGCCTATTCTTATATTGCTAGCTTTGATTCTGTGCTAGATAGTCACTTTCTAGACTGCAAAAACTAGTTTTAAGAGAATTACTGTAAGTTTTACATCTTTCTCTCTTGTATCTTTCTCAAAGCAGATTTGGTAAGTTTATATTTTAAAGACTTTCAGCCATTTCAATCTGAAACTAGTAGTAAATATATCAGAGATTATAATATATAAATTAGAGTATGATTTACCAGGTCTCAGTGGAAGCATTTCATTCTTAGTCAGAACTCCAATGGCAGGGCCAAAGTGAGAAAAGGTATCTGAAGTCTGCTTCAGTGACAAGACTGAAAAGGTAAATTCCCCTAATAGCACTTTTTTTGCTTCAACACATGATCACAGAGATTTCTACCTTATCTAAATCAGCTTTATAATATCAGTACAATGAAGTCATACTATTCAGACTATTGTTATTGTCTGAATGTTTGTCTTTAAGAGGTTAGCATTTTAAATGTAGCTTGGTGGGGGCTGCAGATTTAGCTCAGCAGCATAAGCGCCTGCCTTGCAAGCAGGCATTTGTGAGTTCGATCCCCGGTACCGATAAAAAGGAAAAAGACAAAAAAAAAAAAAAATGTCTCTTGGAGTAAAAACAAAACAACCCCCCCCCCAGAAAACCTTACATGCTTTATGTTAATTCTATAAGTTGAAGCTAATAGAAAGTATTTTAATAGTTGGCTGAGTAAATTTTAGTTAATCAGGAAAATGTTTAACAATGTTTAACAATCACTACACAAGTTAGTAAGTCTTACAAACATGGGAAACCAATTGTAAACAATTGATATTTAAGGGAAAAGTGTTCCCTTAAAGATGATCTTGTGTAGTTTTGTTCTTTCAGTTTTTTCCCCTCCATGTCTTAATACTTAAGAATGGACTCTTAACACTGTTGGCTCTTCTCTTCCATATGAATTGTACGATGAACTTGCAAAATGCTGTGTTCCCCTCTACCTTGCCCTAACTTTTAGTTATTATGAACACACCTTTCTTTAACATGGTGTAGGGGGCCAGGGGTTTAGCTCAACTGCATAAGTGCCTGCTTGGCAAACGCGAGGTCAGGAGTTCAATCCCCAGCACCAAAAAAACCAAAACAAAACAAAACAAAAAAAACCCCAAAAAACAAAAGAAACCCCATGGTGTACAGGTCTTTTTGTGAGCATATATTTTCATTTCTCTGGGTAAATACCTACGAAGGAATTTCTGAATCATTTTGGTGGTACCAGGGATCGAACTCATGACCTTGTTTTTGCCAGGCAAGCCCTTATGCCACTGAGCTAAATCCCTGGCCCCTTCTGAGTTATTTTGTGGATGTGGGGTTGGCAACCTTTTTCTGTTTAGATAGTAAATGTATTTCTGTCTGGAGAGTAAATGTATTTTGATTTTGTAGGCCATTTTGTTGTCCACTGCTCCTGCTGCTTGGCTTCCTGCTTCTCCTCCCCGTTCTTCCCTTTTGGCCTCTCCTCCCTTTCTTCTTCCTTCTGCTTCTCTTGCTCCTTCTGTTCCTCCTGCTCCTGTTATTTTTCTTCCTCTTTCTGCCTCTCAACCCTTTAAAAACTTACAAACTACTGTTAGCTTGAAGGCTGTACAGAATAGTCCTTGGATCAGTTATGACTTGATTTGGGCAGGCAGTATTGTTCTAGATGCTAAAATAAATAAATGCATACCTAACTTTCTAAGAAACTCTGCAACAGTTCTGTAGCACCCATATCATACTTCAACCAACAGTGGGTTGTTTTTGAGACAGGATCTGGTTTCCTTGAACTCACTTATATAGACAAGGCTGGCTACAGAACTCACTGTGTTCCTCTTGCCTCAGCCTCTGAGTGTTGGGGTTACCAGTGTACCACACCGTGCCCAGCTTCAGCAGAAGTGTTTGAAAGTTCACGTTGCTCTGTGTTGCATCCTTGTCAATACTTGGTAGTAAAGCCTCTTTTAATGACTGTGAAGTGTTATCACATTGGGATTTGTTTCGATTTTCTAGATGAATATTGATAGTGGATATGTTTTCATATTGCCACTCATTTATATCCATTTTTGAAGTGTTTGTTCAAACATAATGAAAAAAATTAGAGTAGTATAAAGAATATTGGACCAGGGATTTAGCTCAGTGGCACAAACAGTTTCCTGGGAAGTGTGAGGTCATGAGTTCAATTTCTGGTACAAAAAAAGAAAGACTACCAATGTACTTTTCACCAAGATTAATACATCACTAGCATTTGGCATATTTGCTTTTTATATCTTTGTGGTATATATATTGTATATATCTTTTTTCCTTGCGTTGGCTACATAAGTTGAAAATAATCTACTTTATTGTGGAATTTTATCCCTAAATACTTTGGTCTCTATCTCCCAGAAATAAAAATGGTTTTCTACTTATCTATAATATCCCATGAAACCTAAGAGAATATATATATACCATATTCGTTTCCCCAGTTGACCCCAGATAATTCTTACGATATTTTTATCTGTAGTCCAGTCAAAGTTCATGAATTATATTTGGCTGTTTTAGGGTATTGTAGTCATGATTTGTAAGGGGAACAATTTAATATAGGACACATAATTTATAAGATTATTTTATAATATTCACCCATAGAGTAAAATGCAAAAAGAATGTGGGAAATTTGTCCATATACTAGAGACCCAAATAATCCAGCTGGGAGCTTGGATCTCTTGGCAATGTCCTGCATGAGTCCAGCTGAAGACCTAGAGCGCATGGCAAGGTCCTCTATGAGTTCAACTAGTGGCCTAGAGCCCAGGACAATATCTCATGCAAGTCTGTATCAAGGATCTCCACTGGGAAGACCCAAAGCCCAGTGATGAGAGCTAGAAAGTCTGCACCAATGGGGTGAAGATCTGTACCAACAGGCCAAGGGATCTGCACTGGAGCCAGGAAACAATGCTCACAATAAAGACCAGAGCTCCCCCGAAGAACTGTAGCTATCCTCAGCAGCCACAAGGACCTGACCTCCTCTGACAATGAGAACAGCTGAGTTTATATCAGGAAAACTAATGTGAAAAGCTTCTCTCAAAAATCAACAGTGAACCATCTTCCCATCCAGTTCTCCTTTTATGCTGTTGTCAGTGATCCTCAGGTGGGCCTTCCACACCCAGAGCCAGCGGGGTGTTACAAATTACCCATCACATAGGGCTTAGTTTCTTAATCTGAAATAATGTTGTTTTCTCTCATTTTAAAATTTGATTTTCATCCTCTTGAGGTTTTGAGTAATCCAAACCAGTTGGCTTATACTGTCTGGTTACTTCCTCATGAATGGATTTGGAATATTTTTGACTAGAATTCTCCCTAAGTGGGGTTACTTATTGTAGCATATCAAGAGGTTCCTTATGTCGGATGTTGGATTAACTGTCCTAGGTTTATTTATTTATTTATTTTGCATTTTTGGTACCAGGAATCAACCACAGGGCCTTGTGCTTGCTAGGCAAGTACTATACCACTGGGCTACATCCCTGTCCCTGGTTGCACTAAGTTCGATTGGTTTTATCAGATCTTTTCATTATAATGGTGAATTTTTCCTATTTTTATTTAGTACTTTCTAAGGTGAATCTTTGAATCTTGTATTTT